GTACACTTCTTTGTAAATGTTGTTAAAATCTCAGATGCATAGAGTTTGTCTTATTTAATGAAGCTTACAGGGAATATGGCACCAAAAGGGAGTTTGGGAGCGTTTGGGGAACATCTGTAACGGTCCCTGTTACAATTAGCACTAGTTATTATTATTTTTCTTCTTCTTCTTCCTGGAACTTTTTTGTCCGGGAATGATCTTGTAAACTGTTCGTCCGATGTAGGTAAAACCTTTTTAGGGTTAGTAGACATGTTATGTAGATTTGCGGAATCAAGGTCATTTTGTGCGCACGTGCTTGCAAGAGCGTGCACGTGCAACACGTGAAATGACCAATATAATAGATATAGCCACAACTGTTCTATTTTTAAATGAAATGCTTTGAAACTCATAATGTGAGGATATATTAGTAGTATAGACATGACGACATGGTGAAAATAGCAAGATCTCACGCGCATGCACGTGCACTTCGCTCTGATTGGCTGCAACTAAAGTCTCAATATCTTTCTTGTTTTTTGACGAAATCCTTTGAAATTTTGAACATAGCCATGCATCAGGATATCCTACAACATGAAATAAAGCAATTATCATGAAAACACGTGCATGCACGTGCGCTGCAATCTGATTGGCTGAAACTTTAAACAGCTATAACTCCCTTGGTTTTCAACCAAACAGGATGGGATTTGGAACATAGATAGATATAATGGACTTCTACAAGTAGGTATGGTCACCATGCACATGCATACACGTGCGTGTACATGTGCTGCAATCTGATTGGCTGAAACTTTAAACAGCTATAACTCCCTTAGTTTTCACACAAACGGGGTGGAATTTAGAACATAGATAGATGTAATGGACTTCTACAAGAAGGTATGGTCACCATGCTCATGTATGCACGTGCGTGCACGTGAAATGAGAAAAATCAAACATACACTTGAATGAGCGAATTTTTTTTTATAATTTTGGATTAAATACTTTAATATTCAGTATATTAAAAATATAGATTGTGTAGACAAGATGATATGGTCATGACGCATATGCATTCACATGTGCACGCGTGCAATGCTAAAGTTTAAATGATTTTTGTACACTTCTTTGTTAATGTTGTTAAAATCTAAGATGCATAGAGGTTGTCTTATTTAATGAAGCTTACAGGGAATATGGCACCAAAAGGGAGTTGGGGAGCGTTTGGGGAACATCTGTAACGGTCCCCGTTACAATTAGCACTAGTTATTATTATTATTATTTTTTTTCTTCTTCCTGGGAAAATTTTGTCCACGAGTGATCTTGTAAACTACACATCCGACTAAGGTAAAATGTTTTTAGGGTCAGTAGACATGTTATGTAGATTTGCCGAACGAAGGTCATTTTGCGCGCACGTGCTTGCAAGAGCGCGCACGTGCAACACATGAAATGACCAATATAATGGATATTGCTATAACTTTTCTTTTTCTTGATGAATTTTTTTGAAACTCATAATGTAAGGATACATTAGTAGTATAGACAAGATGGCATGGTCAAAATAGCAAGATCTCACGCGCATGCACGTGCGCTTCGCTCTGATTGGCTGAAACTAAAGTCTCAATATCTTTCTTGTTTCTTGTCATAATCTTTTGAAATTTTGAACATAGTCCTACATTATGAAGATCTACAGCATGATATATAAGAATTTTATGAAAGCATGCGCATGCGCGCGTGCTGCAATCTGATTGGCTGAAACTTTAAATGGCTATATCTCCTTTGTTTTTTGACGAAATGCTTTGAAATTTAAAACATAGTCATGCATTAGGGTATCCTAAAATATGATATAGAAAAAAAATCAGGAAATCACGCGCATGCATGTGTGCTGCAATCTGATTGGCTGAAACTTTATATGGCTATATCTCCTTTGTTTTTTGACGAAATGTTTCGAATTTTATAATATAATCATTCATTTAAATATCCTTCAATACGATAAAGATAAAAATTCATGAAATCACGCGCATGCATGTGTGCTGTAATCTGATTGGCTGAAAATTCAAATGGCTATAACTCCCTTGTTTTTCAACCAAACAGGATTGGATTTATAACATAGATAAATATAAGGGACCCCTACAAGAAGGTGTAGTCATTATGCACGTGCTTGCGTGTGCGTGCACGTGAAATGAGTAAAATTAAAAATACACTCGAATGAGTGTATTTTTTAATACTTTTGGATTAAATGCTTTGATATTAAGTATATTAAAATTTGAGATAGTGTAGACAAGATAATATGGTCGTTACGCACATGAACACGCGTGCAATGCCTATTTTTAAATATATTTTGTATTTTTCTGGGAAGACCTTGATTAAGTCTAAATTCCATAAAGTATTTCTTATCTAATAGAGATTACAGGGTATATGGCACCAAAAGGGAGTTGGGGAGCGTTTGGGGAACATCTGTAACGGTCCCCGTTACAATTAGCACTAGTTATATTTGATTGGCTGAATATAATTTACGGGTTGGAATTATAAGTTATGATTGGTTATCAATTACTGCGGGTTTTGTTAATTCTACAAATACTCAGATGCTTTGCGATTTAAGGGAAAGGTCTGCAGTTTTATATCCAGTTTCAGGTGTACTATTTCAGTATCTAAGTGACTGAAGTTCATAATATGTAATGTTAGGTTAGGCTAAATTAATACTGAGTAATTACTAGTAATTGTACTAGTTTTATTTATAATTACTAGTTGAGAACTAGTTATTTGTATCGTCTTTAGCCCAGTTTAGGAGTTAGGAAATATTTCTGCTGCGTGCTAGTACTGGAACTAGTAGTGGGAATATTTATTTGTAAATTAATTATAAGTCTTCTAGAGCCTTTACGTTTTAGTTTGGTCGGGGGAAATTATACATGTACTTAAATTATAATTTACTGGAAATAGTGCCAGTTATATCAGTAGTTGTACTGATTCTGTAATATGTCCCAAGGGTTGAGGCTTGTGAATTTCAAACACTGTTATTTTCTTTCGCTGTTCATGTATTATTGAATAAAATTATAAAACTTTACATCGGAGTTTTTGTTCTCAACACAAGGCGGACGTTCCGAAGCGTTACCAGGCGCGGATCCAGGAATTGAAGTTAGAGGGGGCGCCGAAAGTAGGCAAGGGGCCTGGGGGCCGCCTTGAGGCCCCCAGGGGGCGAAGCCCCCGGAAGCTCCTGGATTCTAGAGATTTTGTAGGGTAAAAATGAGGTCTACCAAGTATACATATTTACATTTTCTAGACGAAACTGTGATTTACGTTAATTTTTACAATTTTAGGGGGGGGGGCGCCGGATGTTCCCCCCTTAAATCCGCCACTGGTTACAATATCACAACATCAGACTATTCGGAGTATTATTTTAAAATGATATTATATGATAAATTTTTTTTATTATATCCTTATACTTAAATATTTTTCCCTTTCCTTTAACTACTATAGTATCTTTAGTTTAGTTAATTATACATGGCGTCAATAATTATAACTCTAAAGTTTTCGATGATTTTTAATCATTTTGATAAACTTCCTAAAAAATTTTTCCGTGCATTTTCCTAGCTGTAGCTTATTTTTGTAAAATCTAGAAAAAGAATTATTCGATGTAGCATTCAAATAATTTTCATAGTGAATTTTGAAACTATTAATTATTAAAATATTCATGGAATGTATAAATTAACAACATAAAAAAATAAAGTCCTTTGAGTGCATTCCTATATCTTTTTCTTTTGAAATCATTCATGATGATATGAGTAATATCATCACCACAAGACTAATTTAGTAGAGCTAAAACTGGCATTGTATTTTTCAGTCAAAAATTTTACTAAAATCCACAGGGACTTGCTCCCGGCGTATAATAATTGCTTATTAAAAATCATATACCGTAATAATAAAACTACACAAGCTTGTGTAGTTTTATTATTACGGTATATGATTTTTTAATAAATAATTATTACACGCCGGGAGCAAGTCCCTGTGCTAAAATCAACAACATAAAAACTTGCGATTTTTAAACTTCATAAACAACATATTCCCGACGATGAATTTTAATTCCTTTTTAAACATCATTGATAGCTGCTTTTTAATAAAAACGGAACTCGTAAATTTACTAATCTTTTCATTGGTCATTTACAAACATAATTTGTTTTAAAATTGAAGATACGAGTACTCCGAAGATGCTTGAGTTTCTGATTGACAATATCTATTTGGTTTTTGGAGACCAGGACTTCCAACAATATATTGGAATTCCCATGGGTACCAATTGTACCAATTGTTCCCCGTTATCAGCAGACAACCCTTTTTGTATTCATATATAGTAGAATTTGTTCAAAATCTTATGAATGTTATTTAGAGACACCGTAACAGAAAAAGGAAAATTTACAAATGCTGGAATTATGTATAACAAATGCAAATTTCTGTTCGGTTTTTAAAGACATTTGTGATATAGGTTTCAGAAAATTCGGACAGATAGAGCTCTCTGCTTTATCTGTCCGAATTTTCTGAAGCAGAGAGCAATAGTTCTGCAGCTATCTATCCGAATTTTCTCAAGCAGAGAGCTACAGTTCTGCAGCCAATGTGTAATATGAAAGCCTTATATCTCTTCTCATTCAAAAGACATGACCAAGGTTAAATTTAAGTTTTTGACAAGTAGTAGAATATGCACTAATTGGTATCGATAATGTAACCCTTTTGTCTTTACAAACCGTTTTTTATTAAATATATTATTTTCGACTGATACATGAGAAGAGGGGCTTGACCCTCCACCCTTTTTCATTTTTTTCTTTTTAAATCTTGGGCCGGCACAACTTTTTCCTATTTTGGTAGTCTTGGTATTGATATTGTAACCCTTTTGTCTTTATAAGGCGGCAATCGGCCAAAATTTCACAGGATTGGATACTAGTAGTCCACAGTTTCGATATTGCTATGTTGCAACAATCATCAAAGACAGCCGACAATTAATAGTTCTAAGAAATACCAGTGCCATATTCCTTGTGAATTAGTATAATACAACATTAGAAAAGAATAAGATTTTATTGAAAACAAAAAGTTACAATTTAAAGTCTTTTGACAAACTTCATGATGGAAGAAGCAAGTATTCTCATTCATACAATCATTAAAAATGCACATGATTGGGTCAGTATAAAAGGATTTCAATTTCATATACATTACACACATGTACATTTTTGTGTATAAACCATGTATCATTAATAATCAATAATAGCCATACAAACGTGTTCGATTTTGTACCGATTAATATTATATATGATATAATAATGTAGAAAAAAAAATCAACAGTTTTAACAAATCACATATACACGTGTCTTTATATACATGTATAAAGTTAACGGAGACCAGCTCAGTTAAAAAACAATAACCAGGGGCCCATATACGGGTCCCCGCTAAACAGTATAGGGTACAAATGAACTGTTCTCGAACGTGTAATTTAGATGCATAAACAATTTGGATATGTAAAAAATATATACCAATTCTCATTATATGCATTGAAATACTAGTTAATAGCATGCGAGTTAATCAATAACTTCCGAAGTCTTCGTTTTGCTAAAAATTGCAATTGGCATAAAATATTGTATAAATTGTATGAAAAGGTAAAAAACAAACATGTATATAAACGAAGCAGTTTTAATTGCATTAAAATAGGGATATGGACGGATGAAGTATTTTTTTTTAAATCAAATTCAGAAATAAAAAAATAACGAGAATTATGGAGAAAGTTTTATAAAAAGATTTAAAACAGAAACATTATGACAAAATCACAGATAGGAAATGGGCGGAAATATATGGTGATATTATACTATCTACATATGATATCACAGTCAACAGCAAATGTCTAATCCGGCAAAGAAACAAAAGAAAACCACAATGCCCTATTAGAAATCGAACGCAACTTTGGATGCGGTGACAGTTGATTTCGTCCTAGTGATGTCCTGTTCCCCAGATACTTGATCCCAATCTACCGGAGTTATTTCCCTTTGTAATACTGTTTCCGCTGACTTTCTTGTAGAATTATCCGGGTCTGTATATGCTACTGATTCCGGAATATCGTCCTTGGGTCTCAACTAAAATAACAAAGGCATTTCATCCAGTATTGACAATACTTTCCAATTCTTTCATGAAGATGATTTTATCGCAACATTTATTTCCCTTAAAAATATATAAAAAGAAATCAAGTTTCTCAAGTACATTTATCGTTAAATCCATATTAACTATAAAAATGCAACACTGATTTGTATTATTAATGTGCAAGTAAATGATTACGAATACAGATAATCATGTACCGGTACATATAAATACATGCACATACAATTACACACAATAAAGCTCACAAGTATAGGGATGTATAATTATGTTATTAAAATCCCGAAGCATTCTCTCAATAAATAAATTCGTTTACTAGTATTCAAGCGGCAACTTTTCGCCGTAGGCCCGACTTTTCCCAGACTATTTCAAAAGCACTTCACTTACCTATCAGCTTAGACGTAATATTCTGGATATTTTTTATGCAGGTATGAAGACATGTATTAATAAGTTGATAATAAAAGGAAATTAGAATTTTGTGTTTTAATATTAAATCATTATCAAAATGCAGAAAAAAAAACGTGGAACAATATATAAACCAACTGTGACTGGTCGACCCATATATATTTAGAAAACAGACACTGCAATACAAGATTCTAGTGAAGAAAAGTGATATTAAAATTTTAATATTGCTGATGTGAAAAAGTTGTTCCCAGTATTTAGAGGTATAAAAACTTGGATACCGAACCTCAATATTAAGTATCTTCTGATCTCTCTCGTAGTCCTTTTAAAATATATGAGGAAAAAGTAAGATAACGCCGGATTGTATTGGATTGACAAAATGTTGGTGGCAACCATACAGTTTTAACCATAAACCTGTGCGCTACAGCATTGCATCAAGGATATGATATCTGACCAAACATAAAGTTAGCAGAAACAAGCCCAACATTCAAGCAGGTGATAAAAGTGCAATTATTCTATGAAGTTTTTACCTATGCCCACAATTCGTCAATCTGATGAAACGCAAATTATTCGTTGTGAAAATAATACATTTATAAATTTTAGCTTTCAGAACACATGCTTTCATTAATGGATATATTTTTCAAAATATTGATCAAAATTAGATAACCACTTTCACTCAGCATTAATTTTGTAGTATAAAGCTGTAATATTTACCACAGTAATATGTATATTACTTTTATTTTGTTCTTTTGTTTTGTCATGCGGAGTTATAGAAAGCTTTTCACTTAACTCAACAATGTTAATTATAAAACAAGACATTGATTTTACCATAAATCACTTATCACATCGAATTCTCTTAACCCTGTAAATAATTTGAGATTGTTTTATATTTGTTTTCAAATACATGTAGTTAAAATTTGAATGTCATAATAAAGATTCCTGTTTAAAAATAGAAATACTTACGTCACTGTCAGTGGGGACATTTCCGTTTTTATGGTTGACTTCATTCACAGTTTTAACTGCTGGGGGTGGTCCGGGACTGGGTGGGGGTTTTGAGTCCCCCTTCTTTTTCGCCCCTGGCTTTTCTCCCGTCAGTTCATAGATACGGTTCAACAAGAACTGTTTGTCTTTTCCTTCCTATATAAACGAAAATGCTGACAATCAATATACTTGCATCATTTTATATCACATTTATTTACTCACAGTGGTTTTAGAAGGAGTAACGTGAGAAAAACATTGGTTCGCGTTCGATGAGGCTTACCATAATCATCTGTTCTTTCAGCATTACGATCATGGCTGCACGTGCGCTAGATCTTGAGGACGTGTAATAAATTACTAACCTGTCAAAAAAATCCCTAAACTTGTTTAAATACTTTAAAACAATTTAATGTCACTGATTAAAAATAAACCAAGAAAACAAGCATTGTGTACAAGACATAGAAAGAACTTTGCATTGAGCAGAATGATTCATTTAAATATAATGTATAAAAGTAGAAAAATGAAAATAAAGTTGATACTGACGATAGCAGAACGACCAGAATGATAATGAAGGACCCGGAAGTAAATATTCCGATCAGGGTCTGGAGCCAGGACGGGAAGTTAGATATGGTGGCGTCTATAGTAACCGTCATGTAGCTATAGATACGGAACGGACCGCATCCTTTTGAAGGAGTTAACCTGGTGGTAAAAAATATCATCTTAGCTCTACTTTTTTCATGTCTTGTAACATATAAATACAAAGTTTGTGAAATTATTCTGTTTAGCCCGTCTAGTTCGATTTTCTGAAAGGAGATAGTCGATTAAATTTCAATCTTTAAAACTGGAAGTAAGTTTCAGTACGAAGCTTACTTGACCATGGTGTAGCCCACTGGTAGACAACAGAGGAAAAAGGCCGCCATCAGCACGATCATAAAGAAATTGTTAGACTTGGAAGCTTTATAGGGAACTTCTGGCGGGTTGGTGTTATACATAGCTGACAGCTAAATACAGACGAGAAAAATAAACTTGATAGGTGTCGTCTCTTAAAAGATATCTCAAGAGAAATGTTCTGGAATTTAAAATTATTATCAAATTTGAGCTATAATTTATACTTACGTATTTGAGATAAAACAAAGTAAAAAGGGAAATGGTGGCAAGTGCTGGTACCAAAGGAGCATAGAAAAATCCCAGCCTACAAAACATTGAGAAACACTTACATCTCTTTTATCCTTTTCCTTTTTTTATCATGTTCGTGTATTCATGTATTGCAAAAACGGAGTTATTAAGAGAATTAGATATTTTATGTTAATAAACTTACCAACATAATGTCTGTGTATATACAATATCCAGAACGTTTTTAGGAATGTCGAATTCCGCTGGTCCCACTTTTTTACATATAGACGCATCGCATTTTGTCGTTAGTATTCTAAAAAATATCAAACAGAATGTTAACTGGGGAATTTGGATAAAATTTGAAAATGACAAAAAAATTAATTATTATTTTATATGCCTCTACTCACTTTCTTGGAAGTTCGTATCCAAGAGTGACCCCAATCTTGACCAGATAGTCCAACACAATTAACTTGTAAAAGTTCTGACCGACATACGTTTCCCAGCACTGTAAAGCAAAAGTGTGGTTCTTGTAAAATCCAGTGCTAAAAAATTTCAGGTTGATGGCTGTAAGTCTAATACCAAGGACTCCAGAACAGGGGTTAAAGTTCATACTTACTCTAAGTTCGTCGCAGCTATTCTGTCCAACATTACACGTGGTGTCTTTATCAGAACAAGAAACACTTCTGTATATAGTGGCTATCAGCACAGCCAATGAGGCCAATCTCAAGAAAACTGTCCTGAAATGTACAAAAATTTGTAAATATATATAATCTCAGATTTTTATGTATGCATATAAAACGACGAAAAAATATACCAGTATACAAAACGAACACCCAACAAAATGGAATCTCAAAGTAAAAAAAAAAGGAAACCCCATCATTGATAGTCAAGAGATGCCGTACAATACCTTATGAGTGTGATTTTAATGGTAAATTCTGGGGTATAATCTTCCGCCTTAACCACTATTCCAAAGATTAGAGGCACGATTCCGTTAAGAGCTGTTATCGTCAGAGAGGGCAAGAATTCAACCACCAAAATAACAATATTGTCATTGGTTGTCTTAGCATTTGGATCTGCCAAAAACTGAAATGAAAATAATCATCAATCACTATATTCAGTGTGCCTGTTCCCTGTAACATTTTGACATTTTTTTTGGAAACTCAGTGATAAATATAGAAGTCAGACTTACGGTGGTCACCCAATCCGTGACCCAGTAAATGAGGTACCCAGATCCTCCCAGAATGCACACCACCAGGAAGTTGATAAAAAATCTTAAGGTGTACAGCTTACATTTTTGACTGGTATTCATGTTCTGTCTGGACTCTAGATGGCGTTGTTCCGCTAATTCACCCTGTTATAAACCCCAAACTTTACGCAAAACCAAGAACAGAAAATGAAATACCAAAGATTGGCAAACAAAGGTACAAGATGCAGTTTTGCCTTGAGGTCTCAAAATTTGAAAATGAAAACGGAAGCTTACGACTAGGTCTTTATAAAGACTCCTGTGTTTAAGTAAAGCTGTGCTTTCTTCACTGAGGGCGTAGTCCCAGCCCCCGAACACTCGATTACAATACTGGTGTTTTTCGTTCCGGTCCTCCAGATTCTCCCTGAAGCTCTGCATGGTGCTGTACAGTAAAATGGCGATATCAAAACCATTTCAGTCTTTAGTTTTATTTTTAATACGAGTTGAGAATTATATTTCAAAGAACATTTAAATTTTGAGTTTATTGTCTGTAATACGTACTATCTTGCCATAGTGATCAAACTAAATAGCAGGACAACCATTGACGTCAGCAGATAAGCCAGCGGCATGACGTAATTATAACGATGGTCGCCTACAGAACCGATGGTCAAGTCCTGGCTGTCATAGAAACCATAAAACATGGCCGTTTTCTCCATCCAACCCTTAAAGATAAATGAAAAGAAAATGTTCGTGTATTAAGCCTTGTTATCTCGAACCCAAAGGTACCTAAAAAATCGTGATATCCTATGATTCGAGAAATCGAGGTTAAAATACATATACACAAAAAGGCTCTTTTGCCGTTGAGCCCACTTCGAGTTAACCAGGGTATTAAAAAATTAAGATTCGGGATTACGAAGTTCAACTGTATATACTTTATTGAAGGAAGAAAACCACTTACAGAGCCCTGTAGGAAGTCTTGTATAAGAGTTGCAGCGTCAGAGCTGACGTTGACTGTGTATAACGGTGTACACGTTCCAGCACTCGCTACATCGAGACCTGAAATCCCTTCGCCTTGCACAGCATACGAGTATCCGTAATTTGAAAAGGCAGCATAAGGGATAGTCACGAATAGTAACATAAGCACAAATATGAAGAGATTTAGGAAAAACAGCCAACGCAGGAATACAAAGTAAGAGACCACGCCCGTACCCTGGTGACCTAAATGTAAAAATTAACAGACATAAATGGACTGAAACATGAACTCAAAATAAATGTATTTTTAGCTTTATATAAAAGATCATTTAATCTTCTTGTTTCATTTTGAATTGATTAGGTGGAGGTATAAATGCAAAATTTACAATATTATCAATTTTGTTTAAATCAACTATTAAGGTCTGATGACACGTTCCTCAAATATATGTTTTGTATCTCTTGGTTTTATATAAAAAATTATTCATATTTGTCATTCTCTTCTGATTTCTACGTTGTTTTCAAAATATTTTTAAATGTAAGTACACCAAAAATTGTGTTATAGGCCATTTAGAATATTAGCCATAAGGGTTATATAAGAAAAATGACCCTATGGTATCTTGGCCAAATGCCTGGTAAGGTACCCTAATTTTTTGTGAGGAAACTTGTTTGAGTACCTATACTTCAATGGCAAATTCTTTGGAAAAATTATATGTTTTTGAGGAACGTGTCGTCTGACCTTAACTCAAAATTTACTACATGATGTCATCTATTAACTTTCCTGAAGACTTGATTAAAATAGATTTGTAAGGAACTTTTTCAAAAATCAATCCTGATGTGTAATTTAAGGATTGTAATTTTAGAATCCAGATATTGGTCAACAGATCCTATGACGTGAATAATTGATCTTAACTGCGGAAGGCGAAATAAATGCCAATCATTTTTATTGCATGCATGTGGATATTTTATATCTTGTTGACCTGGCCCGATATCCAGCGATTCAATCAATAATAATTGTTTATCGTCGGCATAATATCTCTCTCAGGGCATGGCCAATTTTAAAACCTGAATACCCTTTTTAGCTTTCAAACTATTTCAACTTCGTATTAATTTGACAGTATATTTATGTTACTCTATAATCCGATACATTGAAGCATTTCAAATTTTATCAAAAAATCTCAATTTTGAATAACGGGTATTTCTAGAGGCTAAAGTATCTATTTCCACATAGGCAAATCTAGCCATTTCCACGCCCCCCCCCCCCCCCGAAAAAAAACCCAGCACACAAAAAAACCCACTAAAATATTTATTTAATGGTCATGCATGCTATTCATTTTATTAATGTATCAATGGTATATGTAAAGTCTGGGACAGAATTGTTCAATAAAGTACATGTACTTTTTTAATTTCTTTTTTGTCATATACATTCCTCTTATATATAGGTCAACGTCATTTTTCAATTCCTGGACTTGCTCCAATGAGACACAAGTTTGTATAACAAAATCGTCAAATGATTTAAAAAAATGTCCCTTTATATTAATCCTATTTCTGTCGAGGGCTATTTAAAAAAACTTATCTGGAAAAGTAAGTTGAATTTCAAATCTTTAATTAACGCTGTCTGTGTGCAATTCTGGCCACAGGTATGAGACGATATATACCGTATATTAAATGTTTGTACGTTGCTTGGTGAGAACTGCTATCCGTCACGATCCAATGTACCACATTTAAATGTCCCAAGCTTTAATTGCAAAATAATTGATCTTAAGTCATTCTACACTTTTTAGATATACATGTACATACACACGACTTACATTCATGAGACAGTGGAAAGATTTTGTCGCAGATTTGCGTCATAAACGGATTTTGAAATTACTGACCCTATCATTTGTATACTTACAAACATACCACGTCATATAATATATATTTAAGAAAATACAAAGCAGTTATAACATGCAACGTATCATATAATATGTACTTTATCTGACAATCTCCCAGTCAAAAAAAAAAAAACAAAAAACAAAAAAAAAAAAAACATGTCATACATAATATTGACCATAAAATTCAGAAGAGCCCTTGTTCTAACATTTTTATCACAGTGGTAAAATTGTTACTGGGTACGAACTTCATGTATATGTATATTGCAAAAGCTTATAAAAACATTTTCCCGTATATTGTTTGCGTAGAGCGTAATGCCTGCTTGAAATTATTTGCATTAGAAAACATCAATAATCCTATGTTTATATTAAGTTCTTCTTTTCTCCTCTTGCTTTTTTTTGCAAAGAGATACGGCAGGAAAATTTATGCATTGTCAGTTTAAACCTTAGTTACCTTCTACGTTTTTCAGCCACGAACCCCAGGGTTCCAATTTGTAGCTCATTTCTTTCTTCCATATCTTAAACTTTCTCCAGTTCTACAAAAATATATGTATTGAAAAATTGTAAGTCGTAATGGAATTCAGTCAGTATCCTGCTTCTTTAAAATACCAAACATTTGATATGGCATTTTCGCTAGGCAGGGCGATACCCAACTCTCCTCATAAGAGGACAGTAGCGTATCAGAAACCCTTGGCCAGCGAAGATGCTGATAATGTTACCCTTTGCTTAATAAATACCGAATTCAATAACTTTAGAAAGCAAATGAAAAAATTAGACTCTAAGTTATAACAGATGTTTTCATTATTTACGTTTTTAAAAAAAAAATTTAAGGCAAAAAAATTAAAGCTAAAATTGTATCTTTTTTTTCATTCAGAACCAATTCAAATTCTTAAGATATTTAGGTAAAATATATTGCATATCATGAAATTTTCGTTTATTACTTATTCGTTTATTTTAATTTGTGTTTAGACGAATGCATTTCATAAAAATGCAATTTCTAATAAATTCGAATAAAATTGGAATATATTTTTATGTTTCATGCAATATGCGCAGAAGAAGTTGATTGATTTTTATCAAAAGAAATAGAAGAAAAAAAGTTTTCCCATATAACTTCTTTTTTGGGGGGAGGGAGTTGTAAAGTTGATAAGACGTTTAACTATTAGTGCAAAAAATGAAAGATTTATGACTATGAATTAATTCATATTAGTTCTACGTTTTCTTTTAATTATTGAAACAGGAGGGAAAACATGCAAGACCTTCTTTCAAGATTTCAAACTTTATGGACTCAAGGTCTTTGTTCAGTCCTCCAAAAATTGCTCCTTATCATATTCAAAATGTGCCTTCCATCTTTATCACTTTTTCTATTTCCCTTGTTTACATTTTTTCCATCTATCTAACTCCAAATTGTCATAGATAAAAAGTTTAAAACAAATGTTATAAATAAATAACTTTAATTCCTTTGAATAAAAATTTCAACGTTCCATTGCTTGTGTTCATGTATTTATAGTTTATTGATCCTGTACAACCATTCTATTAGGAATGACTTCAAAATAATAGGAATCCAGCAACCGAGTTATTAAAGATCGAGAACAAGTCTCAAACGCATAAACTTGTGAAAGGATGAAGGGACTTTCTCAATCAATCGCATCATCTCGGGTCTTTTCGTCAGAGGTCGGTAAAACAAGGCCCAAGAAGTTGCTGTGGCAATGACTTGGCCATCGGAAGAACATGGGCTGCTAAAGGAGGCATTTCGGACAATAGAAAAACAATCATGATCAAGAGCTCGAGGGGGCTTGTTTAAATAGACATCAGACAAATAGCTTATTGGATGTCATTTTTCTAGAGATAAAACTTTGTAAGAGAAAACAGTTAAAGGATATCGGTTATCAAGAATATGGTTATTAATTTGCATGCATCAGATGAATATTTCTTCTAAAAGAAAAGCATTATTATTTCTACATGTACATTTTCAATACTTGCCCGAATTAAAAACTTTCTACTTTTATGCCTTGCCTCAACTATACGATAAATAACCATTGACTGAAATACACACCAGCTGATTAATAATTTATAAACCTAGGGTAATTCTGTATGTACCGCAAAGTGATACTTCCAAAAGATGTTAAAATCTCTCTCTCTTTCTCTCTCTCTCTCTCGTGCTTCCAGCAATGAAAAATACACCTTTGTTCCTTATTATCTAGGGAAAATGTATATGCTTCAAATCCCATTTCATTGCTTTTTGTTTCTGTTCGACATTTTGTTTCTTTTCACTTAAAAGGGGTGTGTGTGTATTTGGGGGGGGGGGGGTGGTGGTTAGGTCCTACCTGTCTATTAGAGTTCCCGGAGCCACAACAACCCGTGGACTTTTTCAGTTCTTTTTGAAGTAATTTTTCTCTGCAAATGAATAATTAAAATAAATAATTCATCGTATACATATTAAAATTAAACAAGTGCGCGAGATTTTCACATTATTTACAACATAATTCAAAATCCATCTACTATGTAGTTTTATCATGAAGTTTCAATTATTTTCAAGCAATATTAATAATTCGTGATTGTTGCATGATATTTTTATTACAAAATTCTATCCGTTCATAGTTTTTTGCAAAAGAACACCACATTACTGGAGCGAAATTAAATTTTCATTTGTAAAATATTAAGGTGTATAACCTTATACCATGCAGCTACATTTCCAAGATTTTCAATAAAATCAATTAATAAGAGAAAATTAGATTCCTGATTTAATTAACTGCAAGGAAATATGTGACGTGCAATAGCAGATAATGAATATTAAGGCCTTCAATACGGCGGCCTTTGGACCTTAATCCAATTACACATGTATATAACTGTAATGCTAATCAATACTGGCCCATCAATACTAGAACAGATTGAGAGATGAAACATTTTTTTTTTAAGATTAAAAGAAAGAAAGAGGTAGGGTAGATACCGATGTAATATGACTCGTTACACATGCAATTCGTAATGAACCACGAATTAAACACAAAGCACAATGAATACAGTGGCATAACGTAAATGATATGTAAACAATATATACTAAAGTAATTCGTATAGGTTCGACTGAACAGACCTCCTTTCTTTGAGATATGGAGTCCAGTGCCCGGGACCTTTCTTATTTTCTATTCGAGTTCGTAGATCGTTCTTATCATCGACACCGTCGTCGTCTGTATCTGACCCATTAGACCCGGTTTCGGGCCCGTTTCTGGCTCGATGGGCGCTCCTAGTACGTGACCGACGGCGCCGTCGTAAGCCCGAGTCTTTGACATTGTCAATGATAGGGTTTTTCTTAATTTGGTTCCCATTGTCGTCCGGAATGTCCACTTTGACTGCAGAAATGGATTGTAACGTGTCATCGTAATACTGATCAAAATTATCTATCTTTTCCCCAATAGGGGACACTCGGTTACGAGTCATGCGTCCCTTAAAACTTTAGATGGTTGCCACACTTAGAAATTGAATGCCACAAATTTTCACAAAAACACAGCAAGAACTAAACTTTTCTAAGCCACATATGCATATATTCCAAAGTTAATTTTTGTAGAATCCATAAAATATTGGTGTTAATAAATACACTAAAACTGGATGAACTTCTGTCAGATTTAAAACTAGCTTGATCACGTGATCTGGAATGAATGGGTGTCTAATTACTAAAACACAATACCCCATGTGGTATTGTTGTGTTATCAGGTTCAGTCAAAAAAGTGTCCATTTAATTAATTTACAAAGAAGTCGGGGATAAGTAAAGACATGTCCGTATAAACTGTGGAAACTCGAATTCTGAAATGACTTTAAGGAGCATGGGGAGCTTAGAAGCTTTAAGTGTTGCCATGACAAATTATTATTACCTTGCCCAGTGCAATTATTACCTCTTTCCCCGCGAATCAAATCGATGTATGAAAAATTAGTACAGTGTGTGTGAGGAAATGTCATAAAATGATCTAATTATCAGATATTAAGACTTAATGTGGAAAGAAAGAAATGACGTTTGCTCCACAAAACCGTGCCACACCAATAACACTTGGTGAAAACTAAACTCTATATATTTACCGAAGAATATTCCTATTAAAATTTTAATTTTGACTTTTATTAAAAAAAACTCAACGCCGTCTTTAAGCTTAACATGTCATACAAGTACATATAATTTTTGAGTGAGGTATGTCGCAAAGCAGCGATATACCGCATTTATATAAATTTTTCTTGAAATGAAAACATCAGCTTCTTGAAAAAAAAGTATAGTTTAAGCAAAACCAAACTTACCCGAATCGCCCATTATTCGTGCGCGACAGATATCAAATCTAGCAAGACAACCGAGCCTACATTCGTTCCAACAACTCCCGAAGTTAAACTCACGAATCCCGACAGAAAATTTGACAATTCGACCTCGACAATCACAATCTGAGCAACTTTTACAACAGTTGCTGAAAAATGACATATCTAATTCATATTTTACCAGAAGATTGACAGTTAGGCTATTTTATTCGTATCAGTATGTTATGCAGCATAGTACATGTAAACAACGGACATCGGTCATCCAGTTCCTTTCTATATATGTAACAAATCCGGACATTCAGTGTATACTGATATATAGGTCATGGATCTCAAAAATTTACATACAAATGTCCTTTTCAAAAACATTCTGTACATTTGTATAAGTCATTTTGCCCACAGTATAAGTTTCTCAGTATAAAACATTTTTTAATGAATATAAAATATATTCCATAAGTGTCCGATTCATTTGAATGGCATCGAATAGTGATGTTTTCCATGTATATGTATGTATATGGTCTTCCTGCTTTGCTAAATGCAAGTCAGAAGACACAGTATTATAGAGCTTTCTATCAGCTATCGATTCTCTAATCACATAAACGTATAAAACTAAACTCTAAAACTTTACACCAACACTAAACAGTAAAACCGGTAAACTAAACTGTGAAACGGGTTAAAACTAATGACTAAAACTGAAAACACTAACACAAACCGGATACTAATTTTGGTAAATAAACAGTAAAACCGGTAAACGATAAACTACACCTAATCATGAAAACGTATAATTAAATACTGATTAGCAAAACACCAAAATGGTAAACCAAACACTAAAACCGGTAAACGTAAAACCAAAACTGATTTTTTACTAAACCACCGTATATAATGGGTAACGCAGGTGAGTCGCTAAAAAGTATGAGGGAGTCGATTTCAGCGTATGGGGGATATTTGTTTTTTGAAAAATACATCTTACAAATACCGAAAAAAGACGTGACCTACATCGCTTCTGACTCCGAAGCGATGATAATCTAGTCCCCCACACGCTGAAAACGACTCCCCCATACTTTTTAGCGACTTCCCCGCGTTACCCGTTGTAACGGTGTAAACAATAAACAGGACAATCTAATCAGTGAAAAAACTGCTCACTCAAATATAAAACCAAATACTAATGCCCGTTAACTGATGATCGTTACCTGAATCTCCTTTTGGCCGCCAGAGGGCAGGGCAGTTGTTTGATGGCGTTCATGACCTTGTAAAGGTCATCCTCGTCTTCCAGGGTGGAGATGTCGATCCCCTGCTCCTCCAACTCCTCCATCCCCGCATTCTTTTTCTCGGGGTGGATCTTATTACTCCGCGCGATGGCGCGCCTCCTGGCGGTAGTGGACCGTCGCGACATTTGTCGGTCCAGCGACTGTCGACTTGGGAGGAGAGCTATATATGTGTTGACCTTGCCTTGGACTGAGGTCCCCTTCTTCTTGGCCCAGTGACTGTTGACCTCCTCTATAAACGGAAAATGCAAATTTTCATGGAATTTTTTGGATGAACAACACGTCTTGGAAATAGAGATAAGGGATTCGTCTATATATATAAATGTACTAATAGGTTCAAACAACTATAATTTGGAGTGAATAGCATTTATTTTGCCATTTATGTTCATGAAAAAGAATGGTTTACTTTTATATGATATGTCATTTTAAATATGGAGACAATTGAACTTTTGGACATTTTTATATGTACAAATTATTTACAATATCCTGTGAAGAGGTTGCAATAAATGGAATAAACGCCGACTGAAGATCTTTTCACAGTTTCTATATATGTATTTTTTTTTTCTAAAAATATATATTGACGTTTTAACATACATATTTGTCTTTGATAAACTGAAAAAAAAACAGCAATGGAGATCTGAGGAGAGGGTGGAATGGGTTGTTTTACATTTTGTTTTTGTACATTTTTTGCAACAGTTTGGGTTTCTGTGATAGTCAAGGGCGTATATTGTGCAATATTTATTCATTAAATGGTAGTCTTATTTTTTTAAAATTCAAAGTAATATGCATAAAATAATTTTTTAAGGGTTTTAAAAGAATTGGAGACAATCAGAAAATTCACAAAACAAAGGTCATAATGGCATAAAATTATCAATGTACTTCGGCCCTGTAGATTAAGTGTCTTACGGGTTATATTGATTATATCGAGCGTAAATCCTATAAATGTCAGATGATTTTTTTTTGTCAAATAATAAATAGCCACTTCTTATCTACAGATTCCTTACGCCACTGTAACTAGTGTTGTTCTAACAGAAGTTATCCCCCCTGCCGCCCCTTCCTCCAGGTGTGGCATACTTAATATGTATAGGAAATTGATGTATTAAACATGTATTACTTATCTTTGAAATATAAGTTACCCAGAAACTGAAGGTAATATTTAGTTTTGTTTAAGTATGACGCATACATAGAAAAAGAAAAGACAGAAAATAATTGGCAGAGCGTGGTCTCAGTTAACCTTCCTCCAACAATGTAACTTTTGTACTTTTATTTTTTGTGTGTAAAAAATGGGGGTCCCGAAGGAATATCTTAGATTTAAGGTTTTACCCAAAAAGTATGTGTATATATATTTTCTCAAACTACTAAAAAAAATTGATATTCAATTAAAAACCAAAGTTCCCTTTTCTTAGTTTTTAAAAAGGTTTTAAAAAATGGATTGTAAGCTTTCAGAATGTTTCACTAGCGGCTACAAAGTGAATTTTAAAATAGCTATGATCAATAAGGTTTCAATCAATACATTATTTTACATATTATCTCACAGATTTGTGGGTATGGGTGGGTGGGTGATTGAGTCTCAACCTTTTTCACACACACAACTTTTTAACACCACCCCTTGGGACGATTTGACAATGCTGCAACAAGAAGGTTGGGACCAACAGGCCTTTCAATAAATATTTTCAACAGTATAGATGTCTGGAAAAAAAGGGGGGCTCCTGTCTCCTCACCCACCTCCGTTACTACGTGTCTATTTCAGTAATGCAATTTAAAAATTTCAAATAACTTTTGCCATGGTCGTTTGATGAAGAGAATTTTGAGACTTTGAGTGTCCACCAAGTGGAATGATACCAGGTTAACCTTTATTTACACAGTTACCATAAAGGACACTTATATTAGATCTTACCTAAAAATAACTGGAGTATTAACTCCATCTGAGAATTCGTTAACACCATTTTGATCCTTTGTTATATATCCTTGCTGATGCCTTCTCTTCGCTGTACCTTTACTAATCGACCACTTGACCCCAACCATTAATGACCATAATACTCCAAAAGGGAAATTTTCACTTAAAACGCAAAACACCTGTATACGAGGGACCCTAACCCGTGATGTTACACGGTGAAGTAAAATGTCTTGGTTTTAAACTGGAGCTGCTAGTCAGTACTGATAAAACCCCACAGGTGAGTGTTTATTGATCTCATCAGACCTGTATGTACACTTCTTTTTCGATAATGGAATTATAAAATAACAAAAAGAATTGATCCCCCCAATCCCACAAGAAGTGTTCTATCACTTCGGTAGGTCATACTGGGAATTTCGCTACATAGATATATCTGATGGGGCAAAGGAGGGAAGGGAGGGGGGGGTGAGTACACCTTGGAAGTGAGAAAAATGTTTATTAACATACAGTCCAAGACATGCCTTGTGAGCAAAGATATACATTTTTTATAAAAGAATCATTAAGCTATCCTCCACTGAAGCAGGGGATATTTAAACGATTTATTATGTTGGCTTCAGTAAATATATCGACATCTAAAGTAAAGGTACAGGTACATAATATTTCAAGGTTACAAAGACATTTAAATAATGTAAAAGGTAAAGTGCAAAAAGGTATTTCCTCTTCCATTTCAGTACATGTATATTCATCCACTCATTCCTTCCTTTCTTTTGTTTTCCAATCTCCCCCTATTCTGTTACCTTTTCTGCTCTACCTTTCCCCTTCCCCTTATTCCTACTTTCTGTTTTAACCCTACCCCCCATCCCCCACCACCACCCGGACTTCTATCAACCTCTCCAAAGTGTATATTTCTAACTGTACATTGTATCATTATTAACATGCATATCTGTGATTCGCAAAACTAAGAAGCTGGACAATTCTTTGTCGAGGCACAACCCTATTCTGTTGCCCTTTTCCATCCGACTTTCCCGTTATTCTTACTCTCTGTTTTAACCCCTCTTACATATAAACTTAAATGAAGAAAAAAATCGCACATTAAAATCAGAGAATATTTTTTAAGGAAACACACACTCCTTACAATTTAATAAACGATGGAGAGTTTA